TGTAAAACCCTTATAAAACCCTATAAAAACCCTTGTAAAACCCTTATAAAACCCTTTAAAAAACTTTAAAAACCATTGTAAAATCCTTAAAACCTCCTTATAGAAATAACATCATAAATCTTTTTAAGCCTTGTAAAACCCTTATAAAACACTTGTATTAACCTATAAAAACTCTTGTAAAAACCTTTTAAAAAACCTTGTAAAACCTTATAAAACTCTTGTAAAAACCTTTTAACCTACAAAAAGCCTTGTAAAAAACTTTAAAAACCATTGTAAAAACCTTAAAACCTTCTTATAGAAATAACATCATAAATCTTTTAAAGCCTTGTAAAACCCTTATAAAACACTTGTATTAACCTATAAAAACTCTTGTAAAAACCTTTTAACCTACAAAAACCCTTGTAAAAACCTATAAAACACTTTAAAACCTCTTGTAAAACCCTTATAAAAATCTTGTAGAAACGTATTAACCTATAAAAACCCTTGTAAAACCCTTTATAACACTTTGAAACAAGCTGGATATAAATTGCAATAGTTAACAATATTCTTCATCTAATAAACTGTTCCATAAACACATTCGTTATCACTGTTTTACAAAATAACATACTGGTTTAAAAAGATAACTACAATAAGAAAGGAACTTATGTTAACTACATTCTTTCACACTTGCTTTTTCCTGATGTAGATATCCCATTGTTGCTGCAAAATAAATTAATAAAAAAGCAATAAGTAACGATTCAACATAAAAAAATTGTTTTCGCATTTATTTTGAAAAACTGTTTTAAACTAACCTTTATTACGCTGAAAAGTCTTGTTGCCAGATACTTCTGTTCGGCGCTAGCTCCATGTTGTTTGTCTGGATGTAAAGCAAGCAGTGCTTTACGTTTTGCTAAACCTATCTCATTGTCATTGTTTACCAAATTGAAGTGATGAACAGTCTCCCATGAACTATTGGACCAAATAATCTGTAATGTATAATAAATTTCGTTAGTTTTTGTAGTTATGAGAAAAATAACAAATTATTATAAGATTACCTGGTGAAGTGATGACATCATAAAAATGAAGTTCTTGTTTTTAGCCCAGAGTATGACCCTATCATCAATTTCCTTCTGTTGTATCTCACTTAGTTTTCGATCTTGGACAGTAAATGACACCATGAAAATATTAGATGTTCCATTTTATTATTAAAAAAAACATCATTTTTAACAAAAAAAAATAATGGTGTACCTGAATGTTCCTTCTTTAGCCGAGCTTCTTCTTCCTAGAGAAATAAATTAGCAAAACACAGAAGACCATGAAAACGTCTTATTATAATCATTTAAATACGTACTAAAACCTTGTAAAAAACGTTGTAAAATAATTTTGTAAATTATTATGATTTAACTAATGCATACCTTATCATTCACTTTCGATTGTTGTGAATCACTCTCTTGTGACGGCTCCTCTGAGTGTCCCATCTTGTTATGTTGTGCCTCCTTTGTTTGAGCAACCTATAAATAAGTTGTAGAAACATTTGTCAACCTATAAATAAGTTGTAAAATCCTTTAAAAAATGTTGTAAACATTACAAAAAACTTTTTTCATTAATGCATACCTTATCATTCACATTTGATCGTTGTGAATCACTTTCTTGAGTTCCCTGTGGAGCCCCATCCATGTTTCTCATCTCTTCATGTTGTTTCTCCTTTTTTTGAGAAACCTATAAATAGTTTAAAATAGGTTGTAAATTTTTTATAGAAACTTTTAAATAAGTTGTAAAATCCTTTAAAAACGTTGTAAATCTCTTCTAAAGCATACCTTATCATTGACATTCGAGCATTGTGGATCGTTTTCTTCATTAGCATGTGGAACCTCATCCGTGGCTCCCTCTTCTTGAGCAACCTATAAATTTAAAAGACATTTTAAATCACTAAAGATATTCTTTATAAAAACCAATCAGATTCATTTAGTTACATACCTTTTCATCATTCACATTTTCGTGTGAATCTTCATCAGGTGGACTGCATGATTCTTCTCTGGTCTCTGTTTGTTTGTTTTCTTGATTGTTGATTGGTATTTCAACCTCTTCTTCATCATCAGAGACAATTATAAACTCTTCTTCAGTCTTTTTGTTCTGTTGTAACACCAAAAATATATTTAAACATAATCAAATTTGACCATCCTATAGATCAAAGATATATTTAAAAAGATATCGTTTTGTTTCCACTTACAACTCCACTTGACGAAGCTGGGAATTCCTTTTCTTCATCATCCCTGGCATCAGGTTCTTTGATCCCTAAATGTTTCTCCACCACCAACATTCTCTTGTTCAATTCTAAACATGCCTTGTAGATCAATTCTAGTGTTTCACTATCAGACATTGATTTCCTTGGTTTTGTCTGATTTACAGTCTCAGACTTTGGTTGCCTTTGTCTAGGCTGATTCACAGGCTTTTGCGTTTTCCATTCTGCAACCTCAATCCATCCATGAATCCATTGTTGCCTGGTCATCCTATAACCTTGGACTACAAGGTCAAAGACTTCAAACCAGTCCTTGTCTTCTGGATTTGGGGGGAGAACCAAATGAGAATATTGTTCAGGATCGCCAATGATATGTTTAATATCAAACTGCATAAAAAAGAATATGAATTTAAGTTAGAAATGTGAACCACAATTATTTCATAAAGCATTTACTATCTATTTTAAAGGTTTTACAATCTGTATTAAAGCTTGTAAAAACTTTTAAAATGTCTTGTAAAACCTTTAAAAATGTCTTGTAAAAATCTTGCCATTTTTTTAAAACCCTTGTAAACTTCTTAAAATTCTTGTATAACAAAGTAAAACAATTGTAAACCTTATTAGTTGGAAAAAAGTAGTAGAGAAAAACTGTCATACCGTTGCAACCTTTGTAACTTTTGCTATATCTTTCTTAGTTGGGCATTTTGTTGTCATCCATTGCGAAATCAGTGGACGATTGTCGTTGGGTTCTAGGACCCGACTGCCAAAATTCTGTCCCAACTCTGCAACTGCGGTTAAAGCCCAAATCTGGATTGCAAAAACAAACCCAGGAAGCCCACATTGGTTTCTAAACAATTGAGTCGGAGTTATCTTCTTCAAGCAATCCACCAAAGACCCGTAAACAATGCGAGCCCACGGATACTTGCAGAACTCTGTGAAACTACTAGCTCTTACCAGATGTTCTTTCTCTATATTGTTTACAGGGTTTGAAGCAATTAAGATGCCCTCCACTAGAATCAGAGCACCTAACCTAACCCTCTCATCAGCATCCATCTCATTGCGTTTTGTAGACAAGGTATTAAGGAGATCTTTCAAACTTAAACCATCCTTCATCCATGTATCTTCTTTCTTTCTCTTTTTTCGTATTGACTGGCTTTGTGATGCATCATCACCCAAAGGCAGCCCTGTAGTAATAACAAACTCCCTCAGAGAAAATCTGAGGGGTTGTTCTGAGAAGACAAACCACAACTCCTCATTGTTAACCATTATTCTTCTCTGAAGAAAGTGATGGACCAGCTGTGATGAGAAACAGATCCCTTCACGTTCCGCAAAATCTATGATTGGTCCCAAGAAAGAATTCTGAATCCGATTGAACTCAGTGGGACTAAGTGAATCCTTGACAACATTCAATACAAGTTTCTCTGAAGAATACTTTGATATTCTTTTCAAATTATCCACCTCATTCCCTGGGTCAATCAGTCTTTTTGGGAGAAACAGCCTCTTTGTAGGTTGACTCATTTTTCACTCTGTTGCAGGAAAGATAGAAAAACAATTAAAACATCTCCATCAAAAAGCATTCTCAAAAAAATCAAACCATTTACAACCCCTTTGTAAGCTTTTAAACTGCTTGTAAAACAGCTTTAAGAAGCTTTAAAACGCATGTAAAATTAAATCATGTAAACGAACAACTCTAGAAATGCAAATAGAGTAGTACATTGCAAACATCATTACCTACTTGGAAGCTTTGTGAAAAGTGAAAAGTCTCATCAATACTCAAACACATTCTCAAAGAATCAAACCATTTAGATCCCTTTTGAAAACCATTTAAATTGCTTGTAAAATCGATTGTAAAAGATTTTAAAACAAAGGTAAAATTAATTGAATTTCTATAGTCCTTTTAAGTCCTTGTAAGAATAAAAACGGATCTACAAAAAAAAAATCACAAAATCTCAAAAATCATCCAATGTCACAAAAACTCGATTTTGAAGGGGAAATAACCTAATTTGGCATATGAATCAAAAAAGTAACGAAGTTTTAAAGTAATTTAACCGTAGAATCGACTGATGTGACGGAACCCAAAACCCTAGGCAGATGAAATCGAAGAAGCCGAAAAGTCGAGATTGAACCTTATGAAAACGGAGAAGACGAGATTGAACCTTATGAAAACGGAGAAGCCGAGATGGAACCAAAACTGTAGAATCTAAAGCCGTGAAGCTAAGCGAAAACCCTTAATTTATTCTTCTTGTACTCAACGGAGAAGGAGACTGAGAGAATCGGTTTTTTTTCCCCCTTCTTTTTTTTTTTTCTCTATCAAATGGGTTTTAAAGTGTTTTAAAGGTTTTTTCTTTTTTATTTCGGCCCAACTATTTACAACTATCTTATTCTTAGTTCGATTAAAAACAGGTTGTAAAACTATTTTAAAACACGTTATAAACTTTTAAAACACATTGTAAATCTTTGAAAAATATATTATAAAACTAAAATTACCTTGCAAAATTTTGAAAAATCTTTTAAAAACTTGAAAATACTTTGTAAAACAATTGTAAATTTAAAGAATCATGAAAAATTTGATAAAAATATAAATAAGATGGTTTTATTTTCATAAGCTTATAAATATTGTAAAATTTTTAAAAGTTCTTTCTATATATAATCATATACATTGTAAAAACATTAAAATGGTATAGATGAAGACTTAACATTGTAAAATGTTTAGATAGCTTTTAAAAATTAACATCAAAAGATAAAATGGTATAAATGAAGATTGGATGTTATAGATGCAGGTACATAGAAAAAAAAAACTTAAATTCACAACTAGAGAGTTATACAAAGTAAAATTCATGCGAAAATCACTACAGATATTCTCAGCAAAAATTAAAAATTTGTAAAACAGCAACGTTTTCTTCAAAAAGAATAGATCATTTTTCCCCAGCAATCTTTTCTTCCCAGCTCTTACAATTAGCCCCTGATCAAAGTAATAAATCAAGAAATATAAGCTTAGTTGTAGGTTTTTAATTTACATGTTAAAACCTGAGAGAAGTCTTACCTAGAAATCTGTTATTTCTGTAAAGATGTCAACCGCAAGTTTCTTTCTCATGTCTCCAATTTTTCCTTCTGAAAGTTTCTCATTTGCATTAATATGCATAGCATAGCATTCCATCATCTTCATCATGTACATCCCAGTATCTTCAATCTTTTCAGCCTAGCATCAAAAACAAAAAAAGACATATAAAAAAGGTTTTAATGAATACAATCTACAATCTCACTTATCACAAAAATTACCTGTGATATATTGTCCACTACAGATATTTTGAATGCTGAAACATCCATATCTGTTTTGTTGAGGAGCTTGCGCAATATGTACGGCATCGCAACAGAATATGCAACCACATGCATCATTTTAACATTTTCTGAAACAAATGATGTCGCGTAATCGAGAATGATCAAAGACCTTCTCTCGATATTAATCACTACTGGAACCCAACATTTTCCTTTCAAGCACATAGGAGCATATATGTAATTTGTCTTGCTTCCAATCTCCAGCTTACTTATCTCTTCAGAACTAAACTGAAAATCATCTTTTGCGACTACAAACTCAGCATACTCATCGTCAATCGCATTTAAGAAAGATGATCCAACAAAAACAACAGTTTTGTTAAGGTACATTTCTGGATGATTTTCCCTTCTAGTTTTGATCAAGTGTAAAGCTGCATCAACATGCTAAGAAAAACACACACAAAAAGGAAAACAAATTACTCATGTTTGCTAGTCTATATGAACTTTAAAATTTACAATGGTTTTTTAAAGTTTTACAAGATTAGAATACTTGAAAGAAAATCATACATACCGATCCTGATATTGGTTTCCCCTGCGTTTCTAGTGTTGTGAACCATTTGGAATCTACTTTGATTCCCCCAACTGTTAGCACCCTACAACAAATATATATATATAATTATAAGAACATCCAATGAGTCAATGTAACATCCAATGAGGCAATGTAAAATCTTTAAAATACGTTGTAAAATCATTTTAAAATACATTGTAAAAGTCAGAGATGATGTAAAACCTTTAAAATACGTTATGAATATTATTATGAGTTTTACAAACTTAAAACTCACTTGTTTTTTGTCGACTTCTTCCATTCACATAAACTTTCAAACCTTTTTGTGTCAACTTTTGCAAAGGGGTGAAGTGTTGGGTGCTTCTTCTTCTCTGCCGTGTAAGGTGGCTGAGAATAAATGGAAGGCACTTGACTTCGCTGGCTTCTTCTTGATGGACCATCAGCTTTTGATTTATTATCTACATCTTGTTGACTAGTTTTTAGTGGAACATCATTATCAGCTTTATCCCCTAATTCTTGATCACATGTTCTTGTTCCAAGATCAGCAGCAACTTTGTCAGTATTTTTGCATTTTTTTCTCTGAGGCTGCAAACAAAAAAAAACAAAAATAACAATTATAAAAACAACTTGTAAAAATTTCAAACAATGCTACGAATACTCAGTAATAAAAGACATTACAATTTGTAAAACTTGTAATGTCTTTGCTTATATATGTATAAAAGAAATGCAACAATGCATTCCTTGTGAAATTAGTTTATAAAAACGAACAGATTGTTTTACAAAATTGAATTCTTACCTGTTTTCTTGTAGGAATATCATTATAAGAATTATCCCCTTGTTTACGCTTATTTGTCTGCAGGTGAAAAAAGTAAAAAAAAAGTCCCCTGTAAGTACTTTGAATATATTTCATTATAAACATTTCATTATAAACATTTAAAACATATCTCTAAATTGACCTTCATTTTGTAAGAAATCTTCTTTTATAATATTGAATACTAACCTCTTTTCTTTCTCTGACATATCTCTTCTTTCTACAGTACTTCTTACTTTCAGAACTTTTCTTACATGCCTCATTGTTTGTTTCAGAAACTGAAATTCCTTCCTTCTCGTTATCCTGACTATCTTCAGAGATAATATTGAAATTTGGAGTAGAGAAATTTGGGGTAGGGGTTTTATCCTATAAAAGTGTTTAAAACCATAGGATTAGTACCAAAAATGATTCTCAGATAATAATGAAATTTGGAGTAGAGAAATTTAGGGTAGGGGTTTTCAAAAAGTTGTTACACTTGTAAGATCTATATAAAATCTTTTTAAAACCCTTGTAAAACCCTTTAAAACCCTTTAAAACCACTTGTAAAATCCTTTAAAACCCTTTAAAACCACTTGTAAAACCCTTTAAAACCCTTTAAAACCACTTGTAAAACCCTTTAAAACCCTTTAAAACCACTTGTAAAATCCTTATAAAACCCTTGTAAAACATATTAACCCTTGTAAAATCTTTTTAAAACCATTGTAAAACCCTTTAAAACCCTTTAAAACCACTTGTAAAACCCTTTAAAACCCTTTAAAACCCTTTAAAAACCCTTGTAAAACCCTTTAAAACCCTTTAAAACCACTTGTAAATTCCTTATAAAACCCTTGTAAAACATATTAACCCTTGTAAAACCGTTTAAAACACTTTAAAACCTCTTGTAAAACCATAGGATTAGTACCAAAAATGATACTCAGATATCAAGGACTTTTTAAACAAAAGTAGATCAATATACCTTTGCTGTAGGTTCAGCTGTATCATCTTCAGAACGAATCTTCTGGCTGTTTTCATCATCTCCAGCATAGCTCCCGTCCTCTGTGTTAGGCTCACGAATGGAATCTTCAAATGTACTAGGACCACATTCATCATCTTCTTTGTTATCACCATCGACATCAATTTCACCATCTCTACTTGGACCACATTCATCACCTTCTCTGCTATCACCATCAACACCAATATCACCATCTATATTGGGACAAGCTTTGTCAGACTGCTACAGAATCAAAACAATCATATTCAGTAAACAAAAAACAATATGTAACAAAAAAGTTTGGTTCAAGAGGTGTGTGTGTGAACAGTTAAGAACTTTTTAAAAACTTTGGTTCAAGAGAGTGTTGCCCAGCTATGGATCCTATAATAATAATAATACTTAACGGATCAAAAAAAGTTTGAATACCTTTGTAAGAACTTTTTAAAAAACCTTGTAAATTATTTAAGATGAGTTATAAAAACATTCTGAATACTTGTAAAAAGCTATCCGAATTTTGATTGAAAAGAATTTAATAAAATTATTCACATACCTCTTCTGTTCTGGCACATGTTTCTTCTTGTATATCAGACTGCAGAAAAAAGGATACAGATATCTTAATATATACTATATACACATGTAACTGACAAAAAAAAAAAAAAAAAAATCCCATTTAGTTACCTCTTTTTTTTTGCATCTCTCAGTCTCATCTTTTTCAAAACGGCTTTTAAGAACATACTCTATTACTGCAATCCTCCTGTTGAAGTCTTGAAGTAAATTTAGGATCTTGTCGAGTTTCTGGCTGTCAGACAAGTTGTTATTCATTGATTGTTCCCCTATTTCTTGTAATACAGTAAAAATATCAACAAATCCAGCACTCCAATCAGTTGCTTTGAGTCTGTATCCATTTTGAACAAGACGAACAATTTCTTCGAAGTCTATGTCGTCTTCATGCGAACTAGCAACTAAATAGCTATATTCGTACGGGTTTCCAATCACTGTATTAACCTTGACCTGGCAAAAGAAAAGAACTTGTAAAACCTTTAAAAACTCTTGTAAAAATATGATATATGTTGAACATCAATCTTAAAACTAAGGCAATTAAAAGAGGGGATTCCACACTTACTGAGTTCATGTTTTTGACGACATCGACAACATGAGAAAATCTTGGTGTTTCAGTTGTTTCCCATTTCAAACACAAAGGATACTCAGATCTCGATGTAACACATTCTGTTGCAAACGCTGAGCCCAAAGATGGAACTGCGCTGAAGGCCCATAGTAGTATCGCCATTGCAAATCCCTTTACTTCATATGTGCCTCTTGCCCAAGTATTCTCATTTATCCGTTGGATGCTTGTAGCAAGAACTCTATATGCATGCTTGCCCCACGGTTGAGATGTGTAGATTGCGAATTCTGAAGCATGTACCAGTCTAGACAAAGGGATTTTCTCCAACGAACCTGGTGTAAAGAGAAAGGCTTCTGTCAAAATTACCATACCTAGACTCAGTTTCTCTTCAGCATCCAGCGGATGCAGCTGATTTGGTTCAAACAAACGTTTTTGGAGTTGTTCCAGCGTAAAATGCTCTTTCTGAGTCCAGAAATATGGAGCTTTTGATGGAGCTTTGCCTTTTCGAAGCATTTCACTATCAATCAGGTCACACTGAACACCTGTAAGTGAATACAAATTTGATATTAGAGTTTTATAAAAACTTGTAAAACACATTGTTAAATGTTTTTAAATACATTGTAAAACTTTTAAAACACATTGTAAATTGATTAAAAACTTACAAAACAAAACTAATTTAGATATACCTGTGGTAAGCAAGAATTCTCTCTCTGAGAATCGCATTGGCTGGGAGTCAAATGTGAACCAGAGATTCTTCTCCTTTAAAAGCAACCTTCGCTGCATCAAGAAGTGGAAAATCTTCCCCGAAAAATTAACTCCACTTCTTTTTGCTAGTTCAATAATAGGACCAAGGAAAGAGGCTTTAATTAGATTAAACTGTTCCTCCCCTAGTGCGAGCTCAACTTTTTTGACCAAATGCGTTTCGAAATGTTGAATAACAACAGCTCCAATGTTTGGTTCAAACCCGGGATTATATATACGGGGCGGTAGGTTAAGCACATCCAATGAGTCATTGTTAGACATCTGCGTAAAAACCAAGCATAAAAACCATATCAAGAATGTAAAACATTTAAAACGGTTGTAAAATACAGAAAAGGAATAATTCAGCATTTAAAACCTTTTTAAAACGGTTGTAAATTACAGCAAATGAATAATTCAGCATTAATAACGAACCTTTAAAAAATGTTGTAAAATCCACAGTTAACGATTATAAAATCAAGAAATGGAATAAATCAGAGAGGATATACCCTAAATCAAGCATTAAGAAGCATTTACAAGTTAAGAACGAACCTTTAAAAATGTTGTAAAATCTACAGTTCAAAATCAAGCAGTCAAATCAAGCGTTATCAGTCAATAATGAGATAAAAAAAGCTTCAAGAAGACCAAACTTTCACAGAAACACAGAATCTAAACCACAGAATCAAACCACAGAATCTAACTTCCAAAAGACAAACCTTTCAAAAAAGCTTCTAAAATATAGTGAGGAATCTAACCTGGAATCGATGTAGGACAGATCGAAATAAAACACAGACGGAGACGGAGACGCTGAGAAATCAAAATCGAACAAAAAGATGTTAACGCCGATCGAAATCGAACAGATCAAATCGAAAACGAACAACGAGATTTTACCACCGATAGAAAGCGAAATCGAAAGGAGACGCCGATTTGATATGGAATCGAGATAACGGAATCGAGATCGGAAAATCGTCGCCGATCGAAATGAGAGAAAGAGAGAGAATGGTTGAGAGAACCGTGCAGATCTTAGGTTATGAAAGCAAGGGTAGTTTGGTCATATTTGAATTAATTAAGGGGTATTTTTAAAAATGGCAAGCAAAAAGGGGCAATGTTAAAAAAGGGTGTGTGAAACAGGGCATTATTAACAATTTCTCTACTTTAAATTTCGTGGGTAGACAATTGATACACCATCGATTATAAAAAATATTGGACACTAAAGTAGTAAAAAAACGCATACACAAAACACACTAACACACACCGACCACCTAGTGATGACCCATAAAATATCAGGTCCTTTTGAAAACTGCCCTACTTTTTAGTTTTTGTTTGAAAAATACGTCTTTTCTATTTCTAATGAAAATTACAATTTTTTATATGTAAAATAATAATTTTGTCCATATTTAAATTAAAAGGTGTATTTTTATTAAAATCAAAACTAAATTAAAAATTGAGAGAAAAAATAAAATAAATTCGAAATAATATTAATTATTCTTATAATTATTTGTTTAGATAAAGATAATCTTTTTAATTTCTATATTAAATCTAACAAGATCATATCTAAAAATATTATAAAGTTTATCCCTTTATAGTTTCATGTTATATAAACAAAAAAATCTCAACGTAACAAGCCAATTCTCCAACTCTAAAATCTGTCTAATTGTAAGATTAACGTAGATTACGATTTAACATCGGTATAATGATGTAGTATATATGTGTTATTGATTAGATCAACGTACGACTTATAGCGTTAACATAATATTATTTGTTTTATTTACTTGTGTTATTGATTAGAGATGGAGTACCCAAAAACCAATGGAAATCTAATAAAAGTAATGTTAGTCAAGAGATCTATATATACATTTTTGGATCACAATTAGCAAATAAATCCTGAAGTTGAGAAGTATTTACAATGACATGCCATTAGCATTAATTATTTAGATTTGTTTTATTTAAGTAAAGATTTTTATTTGAAATTTATTTCTCATATATTTAGCAAAAGTCTCTACAAAATCTTTCCTTATCTATTTAAGTAAAGATTTTGAAATCAAATATGTTCTCAACAATTTACCAAAAATCTCTACACAATTTTTTTAAAAATTTCGACTTAGTTAATTTCTGATTTTTATCTGCAAAAAAAAAAATTAATTGTAACGAGTGATGTAAAAATCGGGAATGTTGATACTACAATTTCTTCTACTTCTTTTTTTTCATATAATGAAAATTATTTTTTAGGGATATTTTCTTAAAACCTCTAAACAAAACAAAGGGTTTCAAACGATAGCTTCTCTTTTGGCGGGTCTACCCGCAAACCCGTAACTCTCTACGGGCTTATCCGCATGAACCTGCGACCCATAGTGCATAAAAATATTATTCAAAAAAAATAACAAATGATGTTTAATTTTACGGGACGGGGTTATATGGTGCAACGGGTTTGGATCAATATTAATATTAAACAATATACTATGGATGAAATCCTAGAATTAAAAATCAAAATTTAATTATAAAATCAGAAACACTAAACAAAATAACAATATTAACAAAACAAATACAACTTAAAATTTTGCAAAATAATTTTTTAGTTATAAAAAAATCGACTAACGGTGTACCGCGGGGTAAAATATAGATTTGGAAGTTTAAGGAAGAAAAATATTTTTTAAAAATAATAGCTCTGCGGTGTACCGCAAGAAAAATCTTTCTCCTAAACTGAGGCAAGAAGAAGAAGAAAGTCAAATGTCGTTTAAGTGTATATATAGATATACCATTTAAACCTAAAACACAATTAATATACTCAAAACTATTAATATAGATATATGGATGGTACATTTATAAAATAGGTCGAAATATTATATTATACTCTCTATTAATAAACAAAACTAATTATATTTAGATTTTTTTTAAAAAAATTATAGCCCCGCGGTGTACCGCGGGTTCAAATCTAGTTTTGTAAGTAATAATGAACTATTAAAGTTTAATCAAACATAGGAACGTGAATCACTTGATAGGTGAATTCATAATTATTTTTATATTGTTTAAAAGAAAATTTAAAATAAGAATTATCTTTAAAATTGTTAGTTACTTCAAATCTTAATTTAAAAACTAAATTAATGAATTTTCTGTTTTACGTGTAAATTATTTTTAATTATTATTTACTGAAGCTGTTTTAGTAATTTAATATATTAAAACATAGTTTTTCAAAGAAAAACAAAGATAAGGTATTTTTCAAACAAAAACTCATAAATAGGACATTTTTCCAAATTTACTCTAAAATATTTCAGTTCTTGCTCAGAGTTACCAAAAACATTGCCGCAAAACTATTTTTTCCGGTTGGTTGAGAAACTTGATATTATGCCACTAATCAAATATATTTATCAAACAATTTATAATAGGGAGACTCACAAAAATGCCCCTTTTTTAATACCCCTTTTCAAAAATGCCCCCTTTGGATGTCCATTTTTAAAAATACCCCTTTTATGTACAAAATGACTAAATTACCCTTCTTTTAATAAAAGATATCATAAATATATAAGGAAATATAACAAAATTAGGTCCACAAAATACAAAATATTTTTTGGCGGGAAAAGTGATCCCCCAATTTTTCCCGCCAAAACACTTGTAAAAATTTGTAAAACCTTTAAAATACCTTGTAAAATTTTCCCGCCAAAAATTTTTTTTTGCGGGAAAAGTGATTCCGCAATTTTTTTGGCGTTAAATTTTTGGCGGGAAAAATTTTCCCGCCAAAAATTTACAAGGTATTTTAAAGGTTTTTTACAAGGTATTTATAAGGTTTTACAATGTATTTTAAAAGGTTTTACAAGGTATTTATAAGATATTATAAGATTTTACAAGCTATTTTATAAGGTTTTTACAAGTTATAAGGTTTTACAAGTTTTTTATAAGGTTTTACAAGTTATAAATACCTTATAAAACCTTAAAAGTACATTGTAAAACCTTTTAAAATACATTGTAAAACCTTACAAAACACTTGTAAATACCTTGTGAAAAACCTTTAAAATACCTTGTAAATTTTTCCCGCCAAAAATTTTCCCGCCAAAAAAATTTCGCAAAAAAAATTGCGGAATCACTTTTCCCGCAAAAAAAATTTTTTGGCGGGAAAGTTTTTTGGCGGGAAAAATTTTTACGGGAAAATTTTACAAGGTTTTTTAAAGGTTTTTACAAGTGTTTTGGCGGGAAAATTGCGGGATCACTTTTCCCGCCAAAAAATATTTTGTATTTTGTGGACATAATTTTGTTTCAAATAAGGGTAAAATGGTCATTAAAAATTAAAAGAGGGCAAACTTAAAAATGGACTCTCAAAGAGGGCATTTTTGAAAAGGGGTATTGAAAAAGGGGCATTTTTAACAATTTCTCTTTATAATATCCACTTGGAAAAAAAAACAATATTTTTAAAATTTTGTATGGGCCTTGTGGCTCTCGGCCCATGTTTTATAGAGTGGAATAAAAGAAAAAAGAAAAAGGTGTTACAACGTAAAGACAAAAAATGTAAATAGTTGTACTTTCGATTCATTCCTTGGTGTTCTGTTTTACTTTTTTACATTTAGAAGTACACTGTTCATAGGGTTGTCCTTGTTTTCTTTTTGATAATAAGGAGGAGCTTTTCGAGAATCAGAGAGGGAAAATCGGTGTTTTGTATAAGAAGGAGAGTGATTTTGTTCTCTAGCTTCTGGTTTTTTAGATCTGTGGTTGACAGGAACGGATCTGTGAATGAAAACAATAACAATGGGGTTGCTTTTTGGTCTTGCCGCCGTTAAAGGGCTGAGGAAGAAGAATAATAAGAAGAAGAAGGTAGTAGAAGGGAGAAGAAGAAGCATCGTAAAGGCTAATTCTAGATCCACCCCAACCTTTGAGGAGATCCCTGAGGAAGTATGGATGGAGATCCTGGCGCGATTGCCGGTGAATTCGCTGATGAGATTCAAGTGCGTGTCAAAGCTCTGGTGGTCCTTCATCACCTCTCGGTATTTCACTAATCTTTTCTCCAAATTGTCATCTCTGACGCGAGAACGGCGTGTGTTCATGTCTGTGGTGGACAAGGAATACCACGGTGACTATATGTTGTTCTCAGCATCGCCTAGTAACTGGGACGCAGCGTCTTTCCCTCTACTCAACCAAGATCTGACTTTGCCGGGAATGGGAGGCCACTTCGTGAACGCGGTTCGGGGCTTGATGTGTTTTAGGCTTGGGAGAGAGGTACGGATCTATAACCTCACCACCAGGCAGCTCGTGAGCTTGCCCATTGTGAAATCCAACATGTTGGAAGGTGATTCTCATATGTGGAACTATTTTGGGCACGATCCTGTTAGTGATGAATACAAAGTGCTTAGCAAAGTTTGGTGGGTCAGCAAGGGATGGAGGAGAGTGAGATCAGAGACTCAGGTTTTGGTTCTTGGAGCTAGAGCTTCATGGAGAAACGCTCGAAGCCACTTTCATCCTCCTCCTTCTCATCGTCCTTACTCTCAAGGGATCTCCATCAACGGTGTTTTGTATTATGGTGCTTGGTGTAATGGGAAGAGATGTGTAGTCATGAGTTTTAACTTGGCTTCTGAGGAGTTCAATTTGATTGATTTACCTGATGAGGCTGGCATCGTCTGGCACGCTTGTCGAGCTAATCTCATGAATTACAGAGGTAAAATAGCTGTCTTTGAGTGTTCCCGTCTCATCACTGAAGGTATGCTAGACCTCTGGGTAGTTGAGGATGCCGGGACGAGTAAATGGTCGCACAAGGTTTCTGTTTTGCCTAGTCATCAACTTATGAAAAGCCTAGATGTTAGTGAGTTGGTGATTAGAAGTACCAACCGCAGCGGAGAGGTCAGGTTGTCTGGGAGAATAGTCGATAGTATTAAAATGTCAATGAACGTTATCTACGACTTGGAGAAGAATCGTATAACACGAGGGGTTGCTATGGAGCCATTATACCCAAGGTTCTCTGGTGCCGGGTCTTTGCAGACGATTCTTTGGGATGATGTTGAGAGCATCATGTATTTAGAAGCCTGAAATTTAACCTCTCAGTTTTTTCTTTTCTTATAGCAATTTTTTACATTTTCTCCAAACATAATAATGATTTATAGAGAAGCCCACATTTTCGTTTTGGTTTTCCTTTCAGAATCTGAATGACTACATATGTTTTTGTTCTGTTGTGCCTAAACTTTTGCTGGAACAATGTCGTCTCGTTTCATATAGACGTTGACAATACCCTGATGTATACCTTTGGCGATTCTATCCAACCCGATGCTCTTCCGGTTTTTTCTGATTATAGAACCCAGTTTAAGCCAGCTAGTGAGAGTGCAGTAAGAAGGTTGAAAATAACATGGATAGAGGAAAAGATCGGCTGCACAATATGTTTAGACGAGTTGGCGGTTGGAGCTGAAGCATCTACATTACCTTGTCGTCATCATTTTCACAAGGGATGCATCGTGGAATGGCTTAAGAGTAGCCACTTTTGCCCCTTGTGTCGTTTTGCCTTACCTGCCCACCCTAACAATTAAGTTTGTTTAAAATACGTTTAGTAAGTTTAAACATTTTCGTTTTGGAATCTTGAATGACTACATACATATGTATTGTTGTGTTGCTCCAAAACTTCTTTCTTTGCTTTGCATTTAAAGACTATATTGGTTTTTCTCTAGCTTCTTTTGCATTAATATGGACTTCATAACACTAAACCAGTTATTTTCTTATGATTCTTCAACTAAAAATGTGTTCAAAACCTGCCTAAGCCTTCTAATAATAGCTACACAAATCAGCTAAAACAGGGAGAGTTTGGTCAAGTGGGTTACACAAGCATTCAAGAAGCAGTAAACATAGCAGCCAAACTTCCTCGGAGAAACAAGAGACTTACGTTAAATCCGGCGTTTACCGAGAAAACGTGGTGAGCAAAAAACCGATAAAGAATGTGATGGTAATCGGAGATGGTATCAAAACTATTAGTTTGTCATCCGTGCTATATAGTATGTGATGATGGTAGAGTCGATACTTTAAAGCCCGCCTTTCGCTATAAACGTCAACCAGAATCCCAGACGTAGGATCAAGACCTTTTTGACATCCTTCATACTATCGAGAGCCTCTAGAATGGAGGGAAATAATACATCCTCCATAGCTCAGACGTTTCGTCGAACACTTGGCGTGCACTTTACCAAACCATGTTGTTTCCACCGAATGAAACATCTCAAGCTCTCTTATCAACAAACCCATTACTAACCAAGCATTATTAGCTGTAACCAAGAATTCGGTGAACGTGACTGATTCTCCTCCGATTAATAAAAAAACAAAAAAAATATTCAAGTGGCAATGAATACAATTGCACGTGAACTTTGGGATTTCAAAATATTGTTCCCCAAGTTAAAACAAAAGAACTCTCAGTTTATGACACAAAGAACCCTTTTCAAATTAGAGGTTCATTTCATGCTTAAGATTCTGAACCTTTCTCTGACATGAAATGAGCTCTCGGTTCCAATGCTCAATCTGGCCGACGGAACAGCTCCCGCCACCTCCGGTGTTGAGTTCGATAGAAGCTTGGAGGACTTTGATGCGGTTGGTCTTTCGGATCAGAGTTTGCTGTATATCTTTCCTCCCAATTGTGTTGATGGTTCTGATCCTATTCCTCACCTGGGGAAGAATGGTTTTTAGAGACAAGACATTAGAATGGTTCCTCAAATGTAATGATGTTATGACAATTAAAATGCTGAATACCTCTCTCTGGTGTTGCATCTCTTCATCATGATCATCAACTGGAACCACCAAGACTTCATCATGATCTTCAACCGGAACCACCAAGGCTTCATCACCATCTTCAGCATCTGATAATTCAGAAAAACAGAGATTTGTGATAAACCAAATCTATTCCTGATTGATTACTGTGATTAATTGAGCAGAAATTAAGAAGAACAGCCATTCATTTCATGCTAAGAAAACCAGAGATTTGAACCAGATCTATTCCTGATTAATCACCAGTGATAGTCTCTGTAATTGACCAAAATAAACTACACTAATTCAACAATTCTCAATCCTGATTCATCTAACAGAGAGATTCAGCAGAACAATGAAAATTATTGCCAAAAAAAATGAAAGAAACGTCAAAACAGTATAGAAGCTAAAATCTGAAAACAAACTTTAGATCTAACAGAGGCTTCGAGTATAGATTGAAGCAGAAATCAAATATAGATCTTACAATTTTCACCGTCGTCATCACCAGTTTCTTCAGCCGGAACCACCAAGACTTCTTCCTCATCTTGAGCATCTGTTGATTCAGAAAAAAACAAGCTAAGAAAAACAGAGATTTGTGATAAACCAAATTTATTCCTGATTAGTTACCCGTGTAATTGACCAGAAATTAAAAAGAAGAACAAGTCTCAATCCTGATTCATGCTAATCTAACACAGAGATATGAGATAAACAACACATATCATGAAATTGCTGCGAAATATTGAAAGGAATTCGGAAAAAAAAACTACAGTATTGACCAGAAACTCAGAAGAACAACAACTCCCAATCCTGATTCATGCTAATCTAACAGAGAATTGAGATTAATTACCCGTAATTGACCAAAATAAACTACACTAAACCAGAAATTCAACAATTCCCAATCCTGATTCATCTAACCGAGTGATTCAGCAGAACAATGAAGATTACACAGGTTTCGAGTAGAAATTGAAGCTCGACTATAGATCTTACAATTCTCGCTGGCTTCAGATGAAGTATCCTCATCACCAGCTTCTTCTCCATCAGCGAGCTGTATCGGAACCTGTTCTTCAAGTCTATGATCCACCGATTCAACGCAAACAGAAGAAGATCATGGGGAACAAAAAACAAAATGAGAAGAAGAGAGATTACAGATACAGATAGATACAGTAGAGTAAAACCAGAAATTACTTGCGAGCAGCAACAGCCTTTTTTGCTCGAAGCTTCAGCTTCAAACGACGAGCGAGAATCTGCATTTTGAAATTCATCTTGAGCGAGAGAGAATTTGAGAAATTCTAGCGAGAGAGAGAGAGAATTTTAGAAATTCTAAAAGCTTTTCGTGGCGGGATTTGGAATTGGAGTGGCTCTCAAATTCTGAAATTATAAGAATTTGGAATCCGCAACAAATTCTGATATTATAAGAATTTGGAATCCGCAACAAACTTTTCTCGAGTTTTTGTTACAGAGATCACTGCTGAATGAACGGTTGAGATCACGACACGTCAGCAACCATCACTTTTATCGACGGTCACGAATAAAATATTTGCCTGTTGAAAACTCTGATTCCTCTTGTTTTGCGTACGTGGATGCTGAGTCAGCCTCATAAATTTTACGAGTTTCTTTAATTAAGTCAATAACGACAATTAATTATTTTTTTATGCTACTAAAATAAACACGAAACATATGATTTGGAAAACCTAGTGAGATATCACTTTTCTAGTATATTTTTTATAACCTCTTTTTTACATAATTATTAAGTCAACAATGTTTTTGTGAACCGTGCAACTTTTTAACTTTGTAGTAACTAGAACTTTTTTACGAATTTGTTTTCTTTTTTTTTTGAAACTCCAAAAACAATAAAATTCACTAATTAATCACAAAATCTGAACCGTACGTACGAACATTAAGAATATTTTTACCCATTTTTTCTTATATGTAAACATTTGTTAATAGATGTATAAAAGGGTGCTTTTTAATATAATTATATAAGGGTGCTTTACGCAGTTGTATAACAAAATACGTTCTTAAATATTACTAAAGTCTTGTCTCCAATTTTTCATATACTTTTTTGTAAAAGGCTTTTTCATAATTTTATACCTTTGTAATTTCTTTCAAACCAATGTTATATTCTATAAGTGAATTTCTCAACTAATAGTAGGGAGATATAATATATTCTATTAACAAAAACCCCTACATTTTTTTAACTTTGTAGAAACTAGGCACTTTTTACGAATTTGTAATTTTTCTTAGAAACTTCTAAAAAAAAAAATTTCACTAGTTAACCGCAAAATCTGAACCGTACGTGCTCTTGGATGATATACTACGTACGAACATGCATTATGAATATATATATATATATTTTTTTATAACCCAGGTATCCGGGCCGAAGCCCGACTAGCACCAAGGCTTGAGGCCGGTTCTCTTTCAGGCCGTCCGAGTCCAACGTATAGTGTGTTTCCTGGAGGCCTGCAGCCGCCATGTGAATACCGCAGTGGCCAACGCTAGCCTTCGAACTGCGGACACCATATTGAAATTACCTCCTCAAGTGCCACTAGCCCAACCCACGTTGGTTATTATTATCCCTTCTTTTCTTTTAGTAAACATTTTTGTTAATAGATGTATAATGAAATGGTGCTTTACGCAGTTGTATAACAAAATAGGTTATTAAATACTACTAATGTGTTGTCTCACTAATTTTTCATATTCTCTCTACTTAATTACTTTTACTTGACACAACTATAACTACAATTAGTCAAGTTGATATGTATACAGACAACTTGAAGGTGTTAGATCAAAATAATTACATCTTCTCATGGTGACTCACACTTCTTGCTATATTTGTTGTTCGCTATTTTACACAAATTACATCATCACAAGAACGTGAATTTTTTTTTTTCACACCCAGAACGTGAAGGTTATCGGAGACGGTATCGACTCTACCATTATCACATACTATATAGCACGGATGACGTAGCAAAAGTTGCGGACTGAAACGTTGTCGTGCCATCTTCAACGTTTCTATTACCGGTGACGATGGTAGAATTGATACCGTCTCCGATAACCATCACGTTCTTGATCGATTTTTTGCTCACCACGTTTTCTCGGTAAAAGCTGGCCTTCACGTATATCATAAGTCTCTTTTTTCTCCGAGGAAGTTTGGGTGCTACGTTTACTGCTTCTTAAATGCTTGTGTAATGACTCGAACCGTCCTTAGCTACCACAAGATCGGCTTTCTTCTTAGTTTTGGAATCTTCCAGAAGTTTACGGTCGGAAAGAGGGAACCATGATGGAAATTTCTCGTAGGAAAACATCAATAATCTCTGGTAGCCACCACCTCCGCCGGTACTTGGAGTAAAGAATTGGTGCATGCAACATGAACAATTACTATAGGGTTTTCTTTAACTAGTAATATGCGCCGAAAGAACGAGTTGGTGTGCATGCAACATGAGCACGTAGAGGCCTACTCTCTCCTTGGTTTAAGTACCTATAGCTCCGGCTCATGTTTACCCACTCTTTATTTTTAGATGGCTTTTTAATTTTTGTTTTTGGCCTTTTAAAAGCTCTTGCTATGTGCTCTGTAAAAAACTGCCTTTTGGTAAAATAATCCAAATTTTATCAAAAAAAAAAAAAAACATGAGCATTTAGTTTTGTTGTGATACATCTAAAATATTCCTATGAGAGAGTCCGAGTCCCAAACTCCATTGTACTGATCAGCCTTGATGATCCGACAGCCCTGATCAACTTTGATGCCCCTCCGAATGTTTCTATAGTGATCAACACTCACCAAGATATTCATATACAGCGTTAGACATCCCCATCCCTCTAAAGACTGACATTTTAAGGCAATTATTTCACAACCGAAACAAGATATGGACGTTATTATGAAATCGGCATCTTCCTCCCTTATTCCAGATGTCGTCAAGAACCCAAATATGCCTTATCTATCAAGACCCTCGATCACAGGATGCGAAATAAGGACAGTTTTGCACAAACGACCATTACGGGACCCGAGTCCTTCTTCAAGGATGGACATCACAACGCCTACACTTACTAAACCTCTGTTTCTAATTCCTGCTCCCTCTCTAGATGGTATCTCTGTCGGCAATGCACCCGAGAAACGGGACGAGCAAGAACAACGTCCTCGTTCTCCATGAATGATTGTTTTGGTCTGATCAACACCAAAACGCTTTTATTTATAAGAAAATATAGCACACCAAAATTTTGGTGTTTTGGTCTGATCAACTTCGAAACACCAAAACGCTTTTATTTATAAGAAATTATATCACACCAAAACTAAAAGGACAGAAGAGGATATTGGGAGAACCGGAGATCTACGTTCGAGATGATCGTCTAAGATTATGGAAATCATGAAGATCGAGAAGGATCTAAGTTATCCTATATTAAGTTTAGGAAGTTTAACAATATCTCTAAATATATTATTTACATTTATATTTATCTTATATTAGAAAATCTCATCTCTATATAAGAGAATGTAATTTATACCTTTAATCTTATGAGAATCTACAATAATTCTTCCTAAACACATTTGTGTAATTTACTCTCATCAATTTATCATAGAAAAATAGAAAATTTCTTCAAATAAAAATAAAACAAAATAATAAGGGAAATTCTGATAAGGCTTAGACTTAGATGGTGTCTATCATAGTATATTTGTGGGTTATCGGACTCTATATTTAAATATTTACTAGGTCCGGACCCGCACATACGTGCGGGGTTTTATATTTTAAAATATGCGGGTTTAATATGTGTTGTATAACATATAGTGAAAACGGGTATAACATATAGTGTTGTATAACGTACGTGCATGGTTTTTTTGTTTGATTGGTTTAAAAGTTTGGAATGAAAAATTAGTAAGAAGGTTGAATATGTGTTGTATGACATATAGTGAAAACGGGTATAACATATAGTGTTGTATAACATACGTGCGGGGTTTTTTTTGTTTGATTGGTTTAAAAGTTTGGAAAGAAAAATTAGTAAGATTTTAGTAATTTTGATTGGTGAATGATTGGATATCTTTGTTTGGTTTTGTTGAATTATTTAGAAAGTTGCAAAATTGGTTGTAATATTTGTGAAACCAAATTATTATTTTGATTTATATTGTATATTTTTATTTCTTAAACTATAAAATTATTTGTTTGGTGATATAAAATTATTGTTTGTAATTTGATACAATTTTCATAAATATAAATGATTATTTAAAAGATTATGGCCCATGAATGATTGACCTTTTAATTTGGATTGGGCCGGATTTTGATAGACCCATTAAGTAGTAGATAATGGCCCATGTATGATCCATGATTTCGTTTTTTTTTTTTTAATTCAGAAGATGATCGAAACATTGTTTGTCTTATCCTCTTCAAAGTAATGCAACCCTAAAACTCAGAAGATTTTTCGATTTCTCAAACAATGTCAAAAGTTTAGATAATCAATCGAGTACGTCTCCGTATATCAAATTTCCATATAAGATTCGGTATTTCTTCAAAGAGGTAAGGTTTTTAGAGATTCTTCTTCAATCAATCTATTTTTATAATCTGTCGATTCATTTTACAATCTTTGTAATTCTATGTTTCAACAGAGATCTTGGACTATCACTGTGATTATACGAACTTGCATGAGTAAGTATTTTCAATTATATTTGTTGTTTAGATCCGAAATTGATTGTCTATAATTTTTGTGTTTAACCGGGTAACTCAATCTATTATCAAAATCTTCTATTCGTTGGAGTTAATATAAGCTATAATTTGATTTTGTATAGATTTAGACAGTAGATTTTGTTTCCTGAAAAGTGTTGATATTTAACTTGTTCCTAAACTGTTTTCAGATAATGATTCGATGATGATTTTGTCTGAGAAAGACGATTTACAAAGTTAAGTTTTCTATTACAGCTCTTACATAACAAAACAATGTCTTAATATATATGGTTATGATTTTACCAAATACAATGTTTACAAAGAAGGCAAAAAAATATGTTTCAGTAAGTTTTTATTTAATATATTTATTTTGTTGTTGTGATCATATATATGTGTCGGTGGTGATATATAAAATATATGATTTACGTACCGTTGTATTTTAGATGTATTTTACTGATTTGTGTAATTAAAATATATAATAAAAAGTATAGATATAGTAATAGTAGCATACTATAGAAGAATTGTTTTTCTTTACGAACAATTCTTGGGTTCACCCCTAAGGGTGAACCACTTTCATTCACCCCCTCTTAATTATCCAATTAGAATTTGCCATGTCATCTAATTAAAAAATTAAAACAATTATTTTCTAAATAAAACAATAAGATTAAGTCACAACCACTCTTTTATAAACCCAAACCGATATATAATCTC